TTATTACTCCCCCGTCTCTTTATTAATGTCCACTTTCTATCATTTATTACTTACATAATAGAATGAAAGTGAACATTAAAAAAGAGACGGAGGGAGTATAAATTACATCAAATTAACAGATTTGTCAAGTGAACAATTTTTGTTTCATATCATAATGACTAAGTGCTTGTTCTAATTTACTGAGTCGAACTGAACTGAACTGATCGGAGCTGAATTGAACCGAACTGAACTGTTTATGAGAGAAGAAAATTAGGAAATGAACTCAACTGGACTGAACTTAATTGATTGGAGCTGAACTAAACTGAAATTAAGTTGAAGAGAATATTACCTAAAGATATATTGACCTTTATAAGGTATTCCTCCTCTGATTCTAACTACATGTACAGATGTACTAGTTCAGGCTTATAAAATGTCTATCTTTAACCATTAATAATAACTTTTGATAAATTTGAATATATTTTTAGACTAATTGTAACACCCCAATAATTCTCCCTTTTCCAAACCACTTACTTTAAATAAAAATAGAGGAGAACCATTGGCATGTTACCGCCACGTGTTAAAAAGTTAAGGCTTTATCAAAGTATTGCAGCAGAAATCCAACTTAAATATTAAAATAATATAATTTAGAAAATCAATAAGTCAAAGCTTACAAATTGGAACCATAAAGGCCCTTATTAAAACCAAACCAATATTCAAAAATCCCAAAACATAATTAAAATAGTAAAACCTAAATAAGTTCAACACAAAGAATGAATACTCTCAATCACACCAATCCCTTGACAATGCGTATGTCAAATCACCGAACTTCACATCATCAAGCTAACCTGTGCAATACTGCTCCCCAATAATACAAATGTAATAATTGGATCATCACAGGGTCATTGAAAGGCGAAGGCCATGACCAAAAGAAAACACACAAAAGCACGTAATCAGCAAAGCTGAGTACATACAAGCTACAATGTACCAAACCTAGCATGCTCAACTAATTAAAGTAAATAAACATACAACACGAATTCATTAATCAAGACTCCACACTTAAACAATTCAATTGACTCAACATACTTGCTAATCAATTCTAAACACTCGACTCTTTATATTTAATTTAATTAATTTTAGTTTGGAGTAAGAAATAGACGAGGTTGTCCAATCCACCAAATCATTTTGGTCCCAAATGACCATTTAAAATAAAAGTTTAGCGCGATGCAGGAATGGGCGCGACTCCATTCTCACAAAGTTAGTCTAGGATCCCATCTAACTTTCATTATAAAATAAAATGTAAATACCAAAAGAAAAGAGGACATGTTGATCAAACAAGCCTCGGAAAGCCACGGGCTACCACCGTGTACCCCAACCCATAATTGTCAATACTCTAGAAGTGCACGCTTTCTAGAGTTTTATTGCTCATCCATGTTTCACTTTACGTGATTACAATTTTAATTAATAGCCGACTCAATCAAATAGACCATACATAAAAATCATACATCAATTTACTTGTAATCTTATTTAGGACAATGGTGATTACATACATCACAAATTGACCTTTAATTTCATTAAACTTCCAAATTATCCAAATTGTTGAACATAGTCAACCCACCTAACCATTTCGGCTTAATCCACTTTTACTCAACATACTAACAAGTCATGTGTTGAACATAGTCAACCCACCTAGCCGTTTCGGCTTAATCCACTTTTACTCAACATACTAACAAGTCATGCCACTACAACAAAATAAAGCAAAGGTAACTATGCAAAACCATTGCCTAAATGTTGCTATAGATGGCAACATAGATATTAATGTTACATTTTTCAAACAATAGTTTTATTATTGTTCTCTTTTCATGCAACTATTATTACATTTGTTGTCTTAGACAAGAAAAAGGTAACACTTTAAGCGACTGTTGTCTTATATAGTCTAGAGCAACACTTTTTTTCTGTTACTTTAGTTCAAGGTAACAAATAAGTATTGTTGCGTTAGATTATTAAGAGTAACATTTCTATAAGTGTTGCAATCTTAAGTGTTGCCTATTCTCATTTTTTTCCCACCTAGCCATTTCGGCTTAATCCACTTTTACTCAACATACTAACAAGTCATGCTCGAGTAAGCCCGAAAACGAGCTTTCTTTACTTTGACTCACTGGGTTCTTTACACGAGATGGGGTGGACTGCCAAGAAAAAACCCCTTCCCCTCCATAATTCCATACAAACATAATCAATTCACAAAAACATGTCTCATAAACATAAGCACATGAATTAATTAAATGTATAACCAAACAATTTTCATCCAAGTGTTCTCTAATCATGAAACTAAGTTCTTTTCTTTGGTACCTAAACATGATACTACTTACAACGAAGTAGACATGTACGTACCTCGTATAAACAATTCGGTTGGCCACTTAAAAACTAGAAATCACCTTCAATAAACTCCTCTCCTAAACCAAACAATAACATCTCAATCAATACCCAATCAATCAAATTTACAGCAACACTAACTTACTTTAAAACCTTCAAAATCCAAATCAAACAACACTTTAAAACCCTCCCTTTAGTTAAAATTAAAGGCTTATATATAGTTCTTTAAATTTTCTTCATAAAAACCTTAAAATACACTCTTATACATGAAATTACAACAAGTTTAAAGTTTAATAAAAATCTTAAAATTATTTAAAAACTTCTAATAATCTCCCTTTTTAATGGGTGATTAAACCCTCTTTATAAAACATCAAAAGTAGTACTTAGGAACTATTTCCAGCACTTAAAACTTCAATAAAAAAAACATATTTATGCTTAATTAACTTTAAACATAATTAATTTTATTAATCAAACTCAAGGATAATATTTTAAGTATAAAAAAAACTTCGTTAAAATCAAAAACTGCCCGAAAATCATATTTAGAGGCTGAATTTGGCCACGAGAGGGTGGTGTTCACTACCTAAGGTATTGAGTCTTTCTTAAAACGTTGTTTCCACAAGGAAAACACTACTTTTTTTGTCAAAATCGGATGAGTTTAGAACCTGATCGGGAGTAAAACGGGATTAATATTAATGAACGAAAACCTTAAAATTAAAACACGAATTTAAGTGTTCAAAACAATCTGGAATTAAGTTAAACTAATTAGTACTTATAATCACCAAAATTTCAAAACATCATTACTATAAAATCCCTAAATCAATTGTTCATAAAAACCCTAAAATCATAATTTTCAATAATTAAAAACCCTAGGTTATAAAATTTACAAAATCTGAAAATTATGACACTTATAAAATCTGAAATTATAAAGTTTAATCATCAAAATACAACTTGATACTAATTAAATTACTTTCAAACAATAAAATCAAAATCTATAAATCAATAATTATAATTATACAAATTAATAAAACAAAGGAGAGAGAAAATAAGACTAACCTTTTTGTGTGGGAAATTTTTTTGGTGATTCATGGGGTATTTATAGGAGAGAATTGTAGGATAAATAAGAAGATTGGGCCTCATAAAAATAATGGGTCGATTACAAATGGGTTAGGCTTGTGTGATTGGACATAAATTGTAGAATAAAGGTGCATAAAATAATTTGTTCAAATAAATTTCGACCCAGATTAATAATTTGAAACTTTTGAAATTAAATTATGAAAAATAACAAATAAATATTATAAATAAAATAAATTTTCATTTATAAAATATTTAAAAATACGGGGGATTACACTAATTTACAACGACTTATTTATATTATCGAAAGGTAAAAGTTTGTAAGCCAAACATCGTATGTGAATATTACAGAAGTCGATATGTTGTAAATTGTAAGTACTAATTAAGACTTAAGAGGGTTGAGTTGAGTAAACTTTTAATTAATTTATTTATTTTTTAAATTGAGTTTTCTGAACTTCCTTCATATATTTTTAATTTCCGAACCTATTACACATGCATATTTTGTTACATAAATTCAAATTAAACTCATACATATTGTGTGGGTCAAATTATTGTACTTAAAATTAACAAATGGAGTAGTTTTCATCATGTATATACTACCTCTATTTCTTATTTTGTGCAACTTCTGCTCAAAATGGATGTTACAACTTTTGCTCAATAAGAAAGTGCCTTTATAGTAAATTTTTTGAGTAAATTTATCAACAAACCTTTACTTCAATCCAATTAAGAATTAACACATTAAATCATATGTTATTATTTACTAACTCCTAACTTAATCATTCCCTAAAAAAAACTCTTACCCACATTCTGTCTCCTCTCCCACAACCTCATCCATCCGTCCCACCACCCACACTACCACATTTTCTCTCTCCTCCCTTTCAAGCCACCTTCACCACCACTTTTCTCTAATTTATAATTCTTGTATACACCATGGTGTCCTATGCGCATGATATACATGGTAAAAATAAGAATAGTAGAAAGAAGATCTCGAGTCGAACCCGAACTCGAGTTGAGCTCAATTGAGCCGAACCTATAACAACTTTGGCGAGCCGAGTCTTGAACAGTTCATGAGCCTGCTCGACTTGTTAACAATCTTAACACCCCTAGTTTGAACACAATAATTTAGTATGACTTAAATTTTAAAGAATAGACTTGACTTAGGGCCTGATTTGATACGATTATTTTCAGTTCAGTTCAGCTCTAATAGTCCAGTTCAGTTCAGCTCAGCTCTAATAAGTCCAGTTCAGTTCAGCTCTAATAAGTTCAGTTCAGTTCAGCTCTAATAAGTTCAATTCAGTTCAGTTCAACTCCTAATTTCCTTCTCTTATAAAATATTCAGTTTAGCTCAACTCTAATAATTTCACCTCTAATAGTTCAGCTCAGCTCATTTCAATTCAGTTAAGCTCATTTAAGTCAATCAGAACATGCCCTTAACCAGTTAACATGATCCCACCAAACTCGAATTGACACCTCATGGACCACACAACTATGCAAGTTGGGTTGTATTTCCCATAGTTGATAACTTTGACTGATCCCATGTTTTCACTACTAATGCCAATCCTACTAAAAATCCTAGATTCCAAGTAGAAGCATAAAAGTATTTCTTCATTTCTTGCAGTTGGAAATAGTAATTATATTATTTATCGTTTATTTTTTTTAAAAAATCTGCACACATGCACGGAACAACAAAATGCCAGGAATATCCCCTAATTTCTCGTTGCTTACTCAACTCAAAGCCGATTAATCTAACAAAATTTCCCAAAAACATTTTGCATTGCACCAATTTCTTTGCTATTCCAACTTTTTATTGCCATCTTCAGAGTTCACCAACCCATCTTCCTGCTGCTCAGGTGTGATTTTCTTCTTTAATCTCATATGGGTGTCTGAATTTTCCATTTTTTTTAATTTACATTGATAATCTAATGTGGGGTTTTCATTTTTTTTTAATTTTATTTAGAATTGGATTGAAATTGGCAAAATTTAGCGTTTTCCAAGATAAACCCAGAAAAATTAGTGCTCTAATTGGGAATTGGTTTTTAGTTATTTGATGTTGCATAGTCAAAGGTCAATTAAAGATATTTTCAAGTAGCATTTTCATTCATGTTGAAATGATCAATCATGTTGCATGTTTAATCAGGTTTCAAGGAGTATGACTAATGAGTAAGTATATTAGTGGGTACATAGTCATTAAGTCAATAATGAACAATGTGCTGCAGGTTGATGATCAACTGATTTTATTTGGTTTAAAGGCCTTGAAAACTTATGATTATGAATGGCTAAGAAATTTCTGTATACTTGTGTGTTCGTCTTGAGCCTCTAGAGGGGGTAAAATGTCTATTACACACTCAGGTGTAAAATAAATAATAACCTTAAGAAAATTGTCGTGGTTTGTGGTGTGCTGGTTAGTGTGTCAAGTCTGTCAACTGTCATTTAGAGTGTAAATTTCTGATCAAATGTAGAGTTTCTGAATAACTCTGTATGAAATTTCAAGGTTTGAATGTTTGATGTGGTTGTATTGGAAGTAATATGAGGATTTATATGAAGTTTAAATGCAATTGTTGATATATTTGGCATTTATACTTATAATTGGTGGTTTGAAGTACGAGACTTTGTTATAGGACATTGTTCAAGTTATGTTGCTTCTTGATGATCGTCTCTTAGGTAATTTGAATCAGCCCAAGTTATTTGCACTAGTGCTAAGTCACAATGTCACTTATAAGACATCATTTACTTTTCTTCTTTGCTTTGTTTCAAACTGATAACTCTACATCTTGTTTTCAAACTCATGCTCCCTTTTGATCTTGCAACCTTCTTTATATCATCTTCTAAACCTTGTATAGGCTGCAAAACAATCTATGGCATCGACAGAGAATGAAGAACCTTCTTTACTGAGGAATGATGTATGGCAAGATCAATCTTTTTTCAAGTGGAGAAAGAGAGATGCACATGTTCCACTACGCTGTCATGATACAATAGAAGGTATAAGCTGTATCCGAATTTTGTGCTATGGTTTTCTATATATATATGGCATATATGTTATTGGGGAATACAGTGATAAGATATTATTTCATTTTCTGTTTAATGAATTTTTTTTTCTTATAAAATAATGCACTAAAACAAAGATAACAATTACAAGTTATGTGATGAGGGTGAATGGTTGTAATTTTTGGAGATAATGGCAGGGGGTATTGGTTGTCAGAATACCTTAAATTTAGTTGGTAGGATCTACGGAGTTGGTCATTAGTGGAGGGTGTAACCTTTGTGAAATTATGATGTTGATGAAATTTGCTTGATGTTATGGATTCAGAATTGAGATATGGTTTAAGAAAATCAGTTGAGCAATAAGTCAACTGGAGCTAATATAAATCCTCATTTATCAGTCATTGCTGCATTTAACCTTTTTATCTTGTATTTATTATGTGATATATACATCTGTTTCTGAGACAGGATCTCTCAGATACTGGCTTGAAAGAAGCAAGGCGGATATTTCAGCATCAAACTTGGCCACATGGGACGACAATGCTGTAGCTGCTGCTCTGAAATGCGCTTCTTCTTGGGTCGAAGGCTTGCCTTTTGTGAAGTCTTTATCTGGTTGCTGGAAATTTCACTTAGCTTCTGGACCAAGTGGCGTCCCAAATTTTTTTTACCACAGTGACTTTCATGACAATGATTGGGGAACTATACCAGGTGCTTAGCATAAACTTTTTTCAGCCCCCACTCCCTCCCGATTTTGTATATAGGCCAATGAATAATGTGATTTCAAAAGTTTTATGGTGGATGACTCATATAGTTGGACTTGGACAGACTCATAAATTGAGTTTTTGGCATATATGACCTTCACAATATGGTGACCAATTACTTTGAATTAGATGGATTACTGGATACTATAGAATGTTTGACTGGATTTCTGTTTTAAGCATTGGATGCAAAGAGAATATCCCATTGGGTTTAGGTACCCACCAAGTGACCACTGTTACATTTTACGTCTGATCAGAGTTTCACTAGTATGATCCATGGCGACTGGGTTGTTGTTATGCTACTCTTTATAGTCAAACTCTCTTTCTGTAAAGAAGATTTTTATTGCTTCATTTATTTGCTTATATTTGTGTATATTGAGATGCTGGAAGTCTGGAAATTAATCTTACCTGGCATTAATCTTGTACGTGTGTTATAGAAACTAGTTTGAGCTTTGCAACTATACATATCTGAGGTACCTCTCAATAATACATTAATGCCTGTGTTGATAAGGCTGGGTTTACTCTTGTGCTTTTTTTTTTTTGCTGGATTGACAAGTTTATAACAATGCCAGATTTTCTTTTGTTGTTTGGCCAGTTCCTTCAAATTGGCAGATGCAAGGATATGATAAGCCTATCTATACAAACACTGAATATCCATTTCTAGTTGATCCTCCCCATCTTCCCGCAGAAAATCCTACAGGTTGCTACAGGACATACTTTGAAATTTCTAATGAATGGAAAGGTACAGTCTGTTTCTTACAAGTTTGACTGAGTTGACAATGTTGAATACCTAGCTGGTAGTGCATCTTGAAGTAGCAGTACTGTTTTATGTAACTCCATCTAGAATATCTTTTACTGCATGACATGTTTGTATTGTAAACCTCTTTTTCTGTATCTTACATTTCTGTGTCTTACGTAAACATGCATACGTGTCTAGTGAAATTCATCGTATTACACTTTCCCTTGTACTTGCTGATTGATTTTGTCACCATTGTTTCTTTTTTAACCATAATATTGCTAAATATTGAATTACACTAAACAAAGTGAAAGTACCTTTAGTGAGTAAGCAACTGTAGATCTTAAATGACCTTTGGAACAATACCTCTGTTCTAAGTGTAAAACCTATCTTCAATGCATTTTGGTCATCCTTGCCAAAACGAAAAAAAAAAACCTTGGTGCATTTGCAGTTTATCTATATTTGTATCATAAAAAAAAAAAAGAGAAAAAAAGGATAAATAGCCTGCTAAGAATTTTGGTGACTTCGCTTGAGGTCATTTTTCTACAGAGGCTTCTCTATTCTTTTCATGTTACAATTTATTACTCTTACGAATTTTATTGTTAGCCTCCCTTTATCTGTTATCAGATCCTTTGATTTTATGCTCAATTTATGAGATGCTCTATGGATTTCTCATAGGTCGAAGAATATTGTTGTACTTTGAATCTGCTGATTCTGCCTATCACGTATGGGTAAATGGGGTCCCTGTTGGGTACAGGTAAGCTCATCAGATTAGCTTGTTGAATATTTCTTTCAGTTCTTTTTTCAATATGAAGAAGTTTCCATTTGCACCAACAGTATTATCTTTTAAGCATTACAAAAACAGTGAGACATATGTTAGAATTTACTCAGTCTAGATCAAGCTCTGTGGCAGGACAAGAATTAGGTGATAGAAACCTGTGTGAAATTTCATTTGAACTTCCAATATCTATCTATCTATATATATTAAAACCCATGGTAAGAATTGTAATCATGCCACGTGTCATGAATCTTGCCACGTGTCGTCATGACTTGATAAATGATGTGGGGTTATGTGACTCATGTCATATTAAAATCTATCATCAATGTTTCCTCACAAAAAATTTATGTTCATAAAAATTTCAATAGCAAATTGATTTCAATATAATTCCATTCTTTCATTTACTCATCCATAATTCATATAGGTTATATGCTACGTATTTAAAATATGTAACACAAAAATATATAGCAATTTTAAAACCACAACATGTGGTTACTTTGAAGAAATTTATAATGGTAGATAAAGATTCATGTAACAAATAAAACAAACTAATATGAAGTATAAAATATAGGTTATTGCATATTTCATAATGAATTTTGAAAAATTCAATAATATTTTTTTAAATTATAAAACCACCAATATATTTCACTTTAATTTATTATAATTTTTTATATACAAAAAATGACCCTGGGCATCGCCCGGGCCTAAAACTAGTTTGTATCTCTAAATGACTTCTTTCTTGGAGGCCAACGTCCACAAGCAGTGTCTTGGTATGGGAATCAAAGGCATTAGGGCGTCTCTTTATCTAGGATTTCTAACGAAGAATGATCAAGTCTGCAGACTGATATATATCACTATCAAAGTAAAATGTTGAACTTCTTTCAGAACATATAGCTACCGTCCGCAGACGAAAACACTAATGAGGTCTACAAAGGTAAAAAAAGGCTTTAGAATATATCAAGCACATGGTCTAGGGATGTGGGCAAGTAGATATTGTTGTCTTGATGCCTATTTACCTAACTTAAATTTATAATGAGGGTAAAAAAATTAGGTTGGTATGAGTGACATATACTGGTCAATCATTGTGAAGAGCCTATTGGTCATTTCACCAATGATATCTGCTAATATTGTTGAAACAGCGGTTTCATAATTCCTCTACTGCTTACTGCTTGATCTTCTCTGTCTTTTGTATTCTGATCATGGTAGATATTGTCCCTATATATGGCTATAATTTTTTCCCTATAATCTCTGTTGGTTCAAAAATTTTAACCTTGGATCTTCTGGTGAAACTACAATCTTGTCAAAGAATGTAACTCCTCTTACATGTGATTAATAGATGACTATTTTGTTTTAATCAGTCAGGATAGTCGGTTGCCTGCTGAGTTTGAAATTACCGAATACATTCATCCGTCTGGTTCAGGAAAGAAAAATATTTTAGCTGTTCAAGTCTTCAAATGGAGTGATGGTACGTACCTCGAAGATCAAGATCAATGGTGGTTGTCTGGGATTCACCGTGATGTGCTCCTTCTAGCAAAACCTCAGGTTGGTTTACTGCTGCTCTAGATATTCTGTTATGCTTAATAAAATCTAACTTTGTTCTGATTTCCAAGACCTGCCCCACCATTAAGAAAAGGCTTGGATGTGCTTAATTCTTAACATGTGTAGTCAGGATGAACTAATTTAAGCATTGTGCCAAGTTGTTTTTATATGTGATGTAAAAAAGTAATGAGTGGTGCTATTGCATTTAAAATGACTACACATTTTCATTCGTGAATTTATATTTGATTGCATTACAAGTAAATTTAGAGTACTGCAATTTCATGTCTCTGCGCTCACAATTAGAAAGAAAAATTGATATGGATGAGTCTGTGGAGATGTAAAAGAAATATATTTGTAGAAAACCATAAGAACTATACTTGAATGATGACAATTTTGATTGATGTGATGCCAATTGTACATCTCCATATCAAAAATTATGATCCAGTGCAAAGATCTTGATTAGTTGATGGAAACATGGTGTAATGCATCCATTTGCGGGGTTGACCATCAAGTTTGAATGCATGTGTGATTGAAGGGTTGAGGAAGTATTTAGGTTTGATAATATTGGTTTCAGTTGGATATTTCTTGATCATTGCCCAATTTTCTTCGATACTGAAATATTAGAGAGGTTCTCATGTAAGTTGATTTGACTCGAATATATCTCTATCTTATAGAAGTATAATGTTACATTGAACTGTTATCCTAGAATATGAAATGACTTGTTTAGTATATGTTTCCTTTTAATAATTCTACTTACTATTATTTTCTTTTAATTTTATCAAGTTACAAAGCATTTGTTTTGACTAACATCTGATGTACACAACCAAATAAACTACCTTAATTTATCTGGTTGTTGTGATTGACGCAAAACAAGTATGATTTGACACACCAAGTATGGGGACTTTTGGGTTCACTCTATTACGGGAGTGGGCCATTACTTCAATTTCATTTGTCCCCCCCCCTCTGCGAAAACACACACACACGCTTGTATCCTTTTTAAACAAGACTAAAACCTTTTTCAATTATTAAACAGCCTTTTAATTCTTCTTCATTGTTTACCCTGTTGATTAACATATTATCATCTTTTAAATGGAGTTTAGCAATATAAATTCTGTATACCTTCATTGGCGTATAAAACATTACTAAATTCTTTGTTTGAATTTCCTCTTTTGATATGATTTAATTATTTAATGCATGTTGTCAGCCTTTTGAATGGTCTTTTCTTTTCTTCTATCTTGGGACCGGATATTTTAAGCCTATTAAACAATTAACAAGCTGTTTCAACTGTGGCGATTAGGAGGGAAATATTCTACACGTTAGTCATGTCGTAGTTATGTTACTTTCTTATATTCTTCTCTTGAGTCGAGGACATACTACAATATATATGAAGGTTTGCTAGATTTTCTGTAGAAGGTAATTGGTGAAACTTATTGGCGTGCAGGTTTTTATTGCAGATTATTCCTTCATTTCAAATTTGGATGGAAGTTTCTCCCATGCAGATTTAGAGGTAAGTTTTCATCCGTACTAATTTCTTCCTGTCATCATTTATTTACTTTAGATACCTAACTTGGGTGAAAGCAATTACTGTGAACTATCTGTTGTCAGAGTAGCAGTGTCTTTCTTATGTGATAGTACTAAAATTTTATGTGTGATTCCATGATACATCTAAAACACAAAATGGAGATTTTTTTTAATTTAATTTTATTTTCTTTTCTTTCCCGCAGAAATTGCTCTAGTTCCTTAGAATCAAAGTGGGCTGTGTTCTCTTCAACTTAATAAGTTATTATTTAGTAAAAAGCAGAATATGTATAAGAGAAAAGCACAGGAGAATCAACAAAATTCAATGATCAGTAAATTCAGTAAAAATCTGTTAAAAACAGTTTTCAGGTGAAGAGTTTAGGGTGGTAGGGTTTTAATGTGATTGTTTGTGGCTGGCTTATGATTTTTAATTGAGTCCTCTTCTTTTTAACATTACTTGTAAAAGTAAGGAAATATATCCTCTTATAATGTGTGTGCCCACAATTTCATAGAGGTAAGCAGTGGTGAATGTTAGCAACACTTTAGAATTTCATGTAGTACTTTCTCTCACTTAGAACTTGCTTCTTTTCTTTCTCGAAGATTCCATCCAATCATCCATTTATCTCACTTTCCTGGTCAGTGGAACTTTTGAATGCTATTTGTCTGCTTTCATGCTCCTTGATTTACTGAACACTATCAATTTGGTGATTGGTTTCATGCTCTGCCTCCCATCAGCATATTTTTCATTTTCATGCTATGATGTCTGTGCTCAGTAATGATATCGTGGAAGATGAGCATTGAGCAATGTATCCATCAAATTATTTGCAATTGTGAATTAGTTCTGGCTAACATCAGTATATCTGTATATAGATCCTTCCCTCCCATCAGCATATTTTTCATTTTTTGTAACACCCCAATAATTCTCTCTTAAAACCTGTAAATACCCTAAACAAAATCCAAGAGAATTACTGGCGTGCTACTGCCACGTGTTTAAACGTTAAGGCTTTATCAGAAAATAGCAGCGGAAAAACTAATTCAGTTATAAATAAGTTTCAAAACCAATAACCAAAACCAAATTAAATCTTACAACTTGGAACCATTAATGCCCTTATTCAAAACCCCACAAAAGTAGTAAATAAATAAAACCAGAGTTTAAATAAATTCAAACTTGCAAAAGAGATAAACTGCGAACAATAACCAACTCTCCACTCAAAATCCCACAACCCTGATGTGAATGCTGTATGTGTAAGAACCTGTGTTTAATCTGCTCCCCAATATTACAAGTGTAAAAATTGGATCGTCACAGGGTCATTGAAAGGCAAAGGCCATGACCAAAGAAAGACACTCAAAGCACGCAATCAGCAAAGCTGAGTACATACACTAGTAGAAAAAACGTTATTCATAACTAACAAAAACGGGCTTTTAGTAACCAACATTGGCCGTTACAAGTAGTGGGGTTACAAATAGTCCTGGCAGTTGTAACGGACATTGTCCGTTACAAATGGGTACCTATTCGTAACTAACAATTTATTTGTTAGTTACGAATAGGTACTCATTTGTAACGAACAATTCAATTGTTAATTACAAATAGGTAAATATTTGTAGCCCACAATTGATATGTCAGTTACAAATAGGTACCTAGTTGTAACGGACATGTTAATTGTTGGTTACAAATGCTCATTTTCGATATTAAAAAAAAAAAAACCTAGCAAATGCTAGGTCGATGCAACTTTAATTATTATTATTATTATTATTATTATTATTATTATTATTATTATTATTATTATTATTATTAATCCATTAGTAAGGGCACCAATTTAACGGATCTTGAATCCACCACCAACAACCCATAACCCCCATCCACCGACGACCCACAACCCCCATCCACCCACGAATCCCACCATCCTAACCCATATCGCTTCTCCCCACTCATGCTAGGTTGAGATTTTACATTGAACTTGAATCGAAGATGGACAACACCCGTGCGACCCTGACCCTGCCTCTTCCCTTTCCCATGACCCAAACCCACCCCCACCGCCCCCCTACCCCCACTGCACAACCACAATCCACTATCCTACACCGCGAACTATCTTCACTACCACCACGACTCACCGGACCCCGACTCCGTGACAAGCACCACCACCCATAAAAAAATCACGCTGTACTGATTTCCCAGCCTAACCTGTACCCGTTCTCCCCCACCCCGACCGCCTCAAGCACCACCCATACACACCAAATGCCACCACCAAACACACATAAAAACAGATCTACCATACAAATTTTTATAAAAATCCTAAAAATTATACACATATTATGCAAATTAAAACACAATTATCTAAAAAATTAAACAAAAAAATGAAAATTAACAGAAATTATATACATAAATAATTCCAAAAATTCGAAAGGAATAAAAAGTTATACAATTATCTAAAAAATAGGTTAAAATTGCAATTACATCAAAAAAAATATACATAAATAATTCCAAAAATTCGAAAGTGAAGTCCGATCATTGACGGCTCATGGGTGGCGATTATGCTCGTGGATGCCCGTGGATGAGGGAACTGCTAAGAGATTGATGAGGGAAAGAGGAGAAATAAAGAATGAAAGGATGAGGACAAAGAGATTTGATAAGAGAAAGGAACAAATTAAAGGAAGAAGAAAGGAGCTAGGATAAATCGAGAAGAGAGAGAAAGAAGAGAAATGAGAAGGAAAGAGAATAGAGATGAAAAAGAAAGAAGGGGGCGGCTGTATAGTTAGGGTTAGGGGAGCAATGGGCTTGGGGCGGTTATGAGAATATATGAGAAAATATCTTTATTATTTGTAATCGACATTATGTTGTCCGTTACAAATAAGATGTATTTGTAACTAACATTATGTTATTCGTTACAAATAGGGTATATTTGTAACCAACATTATGTTGTCCGTTACAAATATTGTCTTATTTGTAACTGACGTAGCTAATGTTGGTTACAAATATAGTATTTGTAACTAATAAAATGTTGTTGGTTACAAATAAGGCGTTACAAATGGCATTTTTTCTACTAGTGATACAAGCTGCAAAACATAAAAGAAATCCCTAACACGCTACTAATAGTCAATCATCACGCATCATTAGTTTATAGACTCGACACATGACTCAACTACCAAATTTATTAAGACTTCACTAGTTAATATTAACTAACTCATTTATTTATTTCATTGGATTTAGCAATAGACAAAGTTGTCCAACCCATGTCCCATTTGGAACATCAATAAAAGAAAAACCCCATGCCTCCTTTTGGAAACATCAATAAATATCCAAAGACCACGGGCGCGACTCCGTGACCGTAGTTAGTATGAGATCTCACCTAACTCCTAGTTTTAAAAAAAAAAATTGAAATAGGAGACTCGTAGATCAGACGGCCTCAATAAAAGTACACGGCTAATTCCCCGTATACCCCAACCCCTGATTGTCATTATTCCAGAAGTGCACTAATCCAGAGTTTTATTGCTCATCCATCTTGCACTTTACGTGATTAACAGGTTTAGACTTGGTGATGACTCATATGCAAACAATACGATCAATCCAATATCAATTCAATCAAGTAAAACAACTTTCCAATATCAATTCTTGATTTATTAGTGACAAGCAACATTTATTATTTATTCCTTTAACTACCTCGGTGTATAAACATCTTGAGCGCATAAGGCACCCCAAAACCTTAACCTCGTCTTATAAGACTGAAATTCTTCCTTTACTCATCCTATTTGCATAATCATGAATGAGTAATAAATTAATCTTTACACCAATCACATACTTTTGCCTCTAAGCGCACCTTGCATAATTAGAGCACAAATAATACTTGCAATATAAAATAGTGCACATCATTTGAAATTCACAATGTATAACCAAACAATTTAACCCAGTCAACCCTATACATGATACTAAGTTTTCGATCCGTCCTCAAACGTGCACCTATAAGCAAGGTTTCGTAACTTGTACGTACCTTGTGTAAACAATTCGGTTGACCACTTTAAAACTAGAAATCACCTTCGATAAACTCCTCTCCTAAACCAAACAATAACATCTCAATCAATACCCAATCAATCAAATTTACAGCAATACTAACTTACTTTATAACCTTCAAAATCCAAATCAAACAACACTTTAAAACCTTCCCTTTAGTTAAAATTAAAGGCTTATATATAGTTCTTTAAATTTTCATCATAAAAACCTTAAAATACACTCTTATACGTGAAAGTACAGCAAGTTTAAAGTTTAATAAAAATCTGAAAATTATTTAAAAACCCCTAATAATCTCCCTTTTTAATGGGTGGTTAAACCCTCATAAAACATCAAAAGTAGTACTTAGAAACTATTTCTAGCACTTAAAACTTTAATAAAAACATATATTTATGTTTAATTAACTTTAAACATAATTAATTTTATCAATCAAACTCAAGAATAATATTTTAAGTATAAAAAAACTTTGTTAAAATCAAAAATTGTCCGAAAATCATATTTAGAGGCTGAATTTGGCCACGAGAGGGTGGTCCTCACTGCCAAAGGTAATGAATCTTTCTTAAAACGTTGTTTCCACATGAAAAACACTACTTTGTCATCAAAATCGGATGAGTTCAGAACCTGATCGGGATTAAAACGGAATTAATATTAACGAACGAAAATCTAAAAATTAAAACCCGAATTTAAGTTTTAAAATAATCTGAAATTAAGTTAAACTAATCATTAGTTATAATCACCAAAATTTCAAAACATCATTCCTATAAAAGCCCTAAATCAATTGTTCATAAAAACCCTAAAATCATGATTTTCAATAATTAAAAACCCTAGGTTATAAAAGTTATAAAATCTGAAAATTATGACACTTATAAAATCTGAAATTATAAAGTTAAATCATCAAAATACAATTTGATACTAATTAAATTAATTTCAAACAATAAAATCAAAACCCATAAATCAATAATTATAATTACACAAATTAATAAAACTAAGGAGAAAGAAAATAAGACTAACCTTTTTGTGTGGGAAAATTTTGGGGATTCATGGGGTATTTATAGGAGAGAATTGTAGGGTAAATAGGAAGATTGGGTATCATAAAAATAATGGGTCGATTAAGTAAACAAATAGGTTAGGCTTGTGTGATTGGAAATAAATTGTAGAATAAAGGTGCATAAAATAATTTGTTCAAATAATTTTCGACCCAGATTAATAATTTGAAACTTTTGAAATTAAATTCTGGAAAATAACAAATAAATATTATAAATAAAATAAAATTTCATTTATAAAATATTTTAAAAATACGAGGGATTACATTTTTATGCTATGATGTCTGTGCTTAGTAACGATATCGTGGAAGATGAGCATTGAGCAACGTATCCATCAAATTATTTGCAATTGTGAATTAGTTCTGGCTAACATCAGTATATCTGTATATCCTTGAGCATGTCATAAATATCCCTGTCCTTTTTTGTAGGTAGAGGTTAAAGTTGACATTCCACAAGGAATTTCTAAAGACTGCCTCCTTTCTGATTTTACTCTAGAAGCAGAGGTTTACGATAATGAAATGTGGCATGGAAATGATGGATCGGCTGATCTCCTTGCATCTGTAGCGACACAAATGGAACTTGTACCACCTGCAAGTTTCAGGTTCAACGGCTATCATTTTAAAGGAAAGATAGATAGGCCTAGGCTTTGGTCTGCTGAGCAGGTACGGGTTATTGTATTTAGATTAAGTATATTGATAATATTTTATGAGCTGTATAATTTTGAAACTTCACAAACTTTCTAAAGGAATAAAAAATGAAAGAGAAAACCTGGTGGTTTGATTTTGTTACCCCATTCAAAAGATCTATATTGTTCTGCTGCTGCCTGTCAATGCTGATTTATATATGCAGAATTGCTGCAACTTCCCTCCAGGTTTCTTAAGGTTCGAGGTTTTTATATTGAGTTTTGCAATAGAATAGATTTTCCAAAGTCTGGCTAAATTAATACATATTATATCTTCTACCTTCAAGTTCCGAGGGGCCATCATCAACTTTATCCCCCTTTTAGTTGACATTATTTATTTACTTTGATGTTCTTTACATCGCTCTCCTTCCTGCCTTCCAGCATTTGCAAGTGACTCCTCTGTTTCTTTGTTGCTGTGTGGAAACTGTAGCAATCTCTTACAACCTTATAAAAAGTTTAAGAAAACTCTTATGAATAGTGCATGGACATTTATATCCCTAAAAATGCTCTTTTACATATTTTCCCCCACCGAATTCAAAAGCCTTAAAATTAGTGTCTCTTGAATCACCAAAATTAATTAATTATTAGTGTTAATAATTCAATATTTAAAGCATGCATCTTGTAGTCTCTCCATTTTTTTTTTGTTTTTTCTATTTAGAATATAAACACTATTTAATACAAAGCATTCTTAATTAATTATAATATATATGGAGTACAAAAATTATGAATTATACAATTGTATGATGACTTATTTGATTTATTCAATTCGTCTTAATAAGTACTTAAAAATTACCATGAAAATATATATAATAAAATATCATGCAAATATGAATACAAACATAAAGGTCATCAATAACAATTCTCCTCAAGGGCTAGCCATACCGCGCGCGTAAGAATCCCTTGTATTTTTTAAAATTATAATTTCACCTATTTGATAATTTTTTTTTAATTAACATTTTTAGCTTTATGACCTTGTACGTATTTGTTTGTTTTTTGCATAAATTGCAGCCAAATTTGTACACACTAGTTGTCATCTTGAAAGATGCAGATGGAAATGTGCTTGACTGTGAATCATGCCAAGTAGGTATCAGGCAAATAACAACTGCTTACAAACAGCTACTGGTTAATGGACAGCCTGTTGTGATTAGAGGAGTAAACAGGCATGAGTTCCACCCATGTCTTGGAAAGACAAATCTGGAGCATTGCATGGTTAAGGTGATGCCAACGGCTGTTTTTTCTTCTGCGGTACAATCTTAGTTTAAGAAACGAATTCAAATAAACTGAGTTACCCCTCCTTTTTTTTTTTGTTCTATATCTAGGACTTGGTATTGATGAAGCAGTATAATATTAATGCCGTAAGGAACAGCCACTACCCCAACCATTCTCGATGGTATGAGTTGTGTGATCTATTTGGCATGTACATGATAGATGAAGCAAACATTGAGACACATGGTTTTGATCACTCTGGTCCTTTTAAACACCCTACAATGGAACCTACCTGGGCTGCTGCCATGCTTGATCGTGTTATAGGCATGGTTGAAAGGGACAAAAACCATGCTTGCATCATTTCTTGGTCCTTGGGCAATGAGGCTGGATATGGACCAAATCATTCTGCTATGGCTGGTATGAAAATGATAACAATGCATTCTCATACTTAGCATCATTCTCATAGGATTTGTTACATTGTTTGTTGTATATGTATAGTGCTCAAGGGCCATGCATTAGAGTATACACTTTTTCTCTTTTTAATAATGGGTAAAAACAAATCAGGATGACATGACTCCAGGTGTTATAGTGAAGTAGAGGTTGGAGTTTGATGCTGGAATACCATGTTGAACAAAATCTGTGAAATGTTTGTGCTAAGTACCATGTTGAACTCTAGTCTTTACAACCAAAGAGAATATAATGAATATCAGCTCAGGCTCTTTGAACGAGCTTCCCTCCATCAAGTACTTTTGCTTCCTATATTAGGCTTCCTCGGCTCCTTGCCATTATGCAAACCCCTTGTACTTCTTTATCTTATTTTTAGGCTCTTACATCCCAACATCTTTAGATTATTTACTTTATTAAATTTTTTAAAAATAATTGTTATTATAATTAAATTAAACGAAGTACTTGGATTGCTCTCTTCCACCACTTTTTTCAATCTATTTCTCTCAACTAGTTGCAATTGGCATATGGTTGTTTCCCGAGTAATCTCAAAACTTGAGAATTACATGTAACTTTATAAAAAAATTTGTATAAATTTGAAAGATCTGAGAAAGTGGCTGACTAGATAATATTTATTTGAGTTATTTTAACGTGTACTATATTGGTGCTTGTGAAAATGTGAGTGTTCTGCGTATAATAGACGAATTCATTTACATAATTCATCTTTGAGTTTGATTTAGGGTACAAAAATATAAGATTTTTTTTTTAATTACCCTGTTCTGTGGAAACATGTATTTTTTACCCATAATGAGAATATAAGATTAATATACTGCGATTAATAATTTTCTACCTGCATGCCAATAATTTGCTTCTATAAAAATATGCATGTTTCTTATTTTTTGCTTCATATTTTTTGCAACTTTGGGGTATTAATGTATTAAGTGTGAGATATAAAATATTCCCAAGTTGGAAAAATTATGAAACGGAGGTAGTAGTTGAATTCAACTCGCAGTGACATAGGTTGGTGCTTGTTTAGTACTTTAGTGAATCTCTATGTCCTGATCCTGTACCACGCTGAAGTGCTTAACTGCATCTATTAATATCTTCTTGTCTGCTAATTGTACAATTTTCAGGTTGGATAAGAGGAAGAGATCCTTCTAGGGTGATACATTATGAGGGAGGTGGATCCAGAACCTCATCTACAGATATTGTGTGTCCCATGTACATGCGTGTGTGGGACATTGTAAAGATAGCCAATGATCCAAATGAAGCAAGGCCTCTCATATTATGCGAGTAAGTTTATTGACCCCCCCCCCCCTCTCACACACACACACACACCCCACCCCTTTTTTTTGGCCTATAGTTACAAACATGTAAGATAAGAAAGAGGGGGGGGGGGAGGGGCAGTATAATATAAAATAGTAATTTTTTCTAATGGTAAATGAAGATAAATTGAAATGTGCTTCTTGCTGCTGCATTGGTTTTGTCATCATTCTTTTTACTGATACATGGCATGTGCTTGCTAAATTTTGATGTAAATGGCAGGTATTCTCATGCAATGGGAAACAGCAATGGAAATATAGATGAGTATTGGGAAGCTATTGATAACACTTTTGGACTTCAGGGAGGTTTCATATGGGAGTGGGTTGATCAGGTTTGTAATACACTATTTAGAAGACATCTTCTGGCACACAAAACATGAATGTTTGTAAAGTCATTCTGTTTTAATGCATTTTGTGGTTTTCCCATATATGACTCTGCATGGTTAATTGCAATTCTTTTTTATTTTGATGTATAACTGTTCTGTATAATAAAAAATCAAGTGTAAATTGTGACAAGTGAGAAGTAGCCAATAAAATGTAATTAGGTTCTTGAGATGGTTTATTTCTTCTAAAAAATATTTCTTTACATTGAAAAAGGATGCTCAACGTCTTTGCTTCAACAAAGAGTCTTGAATTGTCCATGGTTTGTTAATCGCAGTCAGTTTTTTTTGTCACTTGCATCAATTATATATGCTCTTGATAGGAGAGATGCACTTCAGAAAGGTAAATTTTGGCATTTTGCATGCAGGGACTATTGAAGGAAGGTGCAGATGGTAAGAAGCACTGGGCCTACGGTGGTGATTTTGGTGATACTCCCAATGATCTGAACTTCTGTCTCAATGGACTTGTATGGCCTGATAGAACTCCTCATCCAGCACTGCATGGTAACTTGAAGCAGCAGTCAGAACTGAAATCTAAATTTTCCTTGTCTAAGTTTTGTTTATTTAGATAATTTCGAAAGTATATTTCATTTCATAATTTGTATCTGCTTGTATGTTTCTTCCAGAAGTGAAATACGTTTATCAGCCAATCAAGATTTCGCTCAAGGAAGGACTGCTCAAGGTATAAAAATATTCACTAAATACAGGATTTTTTTTTTCATGTATATGGCAATAGGCTACTAAATCCTAGTTTCAAGAAGCTTTAAAATTTTACTTTTGCAGATAACAAACACCCATTTCTATGAAACTACACAAGGATTGGATTTCCACTGGGTTGTTCTTGGGGATGGATCTGAACTAGAATCTGGAGTGTTATCTCTGCCACAGATTGAGCCCCAAAAGAGCCTTTCTATGGAATGGGTATCTGGTCCATGGTACTCGGCCTGGACTTCGTGTACTTCTGAGGAAATTTTCTTGACCATAAATGTGAAGCGTCTTCACTCCACTCGCTGGGTGGATGCTGGTCATGTAAATTCATCGACGCAAGTGCCATTGCCTCCCAAGAGAAAGTCTGCTCCTCATGTAAATGCCCCTTTTCTCACATTGACAATTCAGAGTGTTTTTATCCAAGGAAAGTTGAATTTTGTTTCATCACTAACTGCAAATAAAATGGATTTACAGGATATCAAACCTAAAGATCATGTCCTCCGAACTGAGAATCACGGAGACTTGATCAAGATTTTCCAACATGATGTCAGTGAGATTACGTTCAACACTCGAACAGGATTGATCGAGAGCTGGAAGGTACTAGTTTTCTAAACTTACTTTATTTCACTGTTTATATTCCATATCGTTACATTTTTAAATGAGCTCTATGTTTTATGTAAAAGGCTATCTATGCATAATTGAAGAGTAAGATGTTTTTATAATAGGAATGTCGATAGATAATTTCGGAGGATCTGTGCATTTGATAACTTTTTTGTGGTTAACAAGTTAATCTATATTCAGTTTCCTTATGATTAGAGAAGAACCTCAACATTTAGTACTTAAGCACATTTATTACAAATATATGCATTTTATTGACATATATATGCACTACAAAAACATGCATTAGAAACTATGCAAGTCTATTGCAAACATTTGCTTCAAAAACTATGCACATCTGATTCAAAAAATTTGTACCTTTAGTTCAAAATAATTTCTCGTTAAAAAAGACACATTTGATTCGAAGTATATGCACAATGAGGAGAGGGAAGGGAGGAAGCTTAGCTTAGAGCTTCAATGGTGGTTGCAATGGAATCAAGGAAAAGAAATTGAAAAGGGTGGGAATGGGATTAATGGTCCAGAATCATTCTTATATAAAGATGGTGCTCTCATTTGATCCTTTTTCTTCATATACTAGCAATTTAACTTCCTCCGTTGTAAAGTAAGTGCAACATTTTAGTTCTGCACTATCTGTTTACAAACTTTTACCACATATCTTAGTAATTATAGTATCAGGTACAGTATTGTTGAATATAAAACTAGCTTTTTTAAATTTATTTTTATTATTTCTATTGATAGGTAATTAAGGATATTTATGGTCAAAGTTGTGCATTAGAAAACGTGCATTACATGCTAGTCAAAGTGTTGCATTATTTTTTAAATGGAGGAAGATATATTTAATATTATAATAATATAGAGAGAATGGGGTTGGGGGGGGGGGAGGAATCAGATATGTAAGATTCAAATTTTTGGTCAAGTAGGATTAATGCTCTTACATTGCAGGTTCAAGGAGTTCCTGTGATGAACAGAGGCATAGTTCCTTGCTTCTGGAGAGCTCCTACAGATAATGACAAAGGGGGCGGTGCTGACAGTTACTTATCCAAGTGGAAAGCTGCCCTGCTCGATGACATAGTTTTCCTCACCAATAGCTGTTCGGTTCAGATTAAAACAAATTTTGTTGAAATAGCTGCAGTCTTTCTTGGAATCCCGAAATCAAAAAGCAATTCTGAACCAAAAGAATCAGATATCACTTTTACAGTGAATATAACTTACATAATCTATGGTTCTGGTGACATAATCATGGAGACTAGTGTCAAACCTCGGTCTGATATTCCGCCTTTGCCTCGGGTTGGAGTTGAATTCCATATAGACAAAGAAGTGGACAGAGTAAACTGGTATGGAAAGGGGCCTTTTGAGTGTTACCCTGATAGAAAAGCAGCTGCCCAGGTAGCAATTCATGAAAAAACTGTTCCTGAGATGCATGTTCCTTACATAGTTCCTGGAGAATGTGGTGGGAGGGCGGAGGTTAGATGGTTGACTATGCAAAATAAAGATGGTGTTGGAATGTATGCTTCCGTATATGATAATTCCCCAACAATGCAAATGAGCGCCAGCTACTACACAACAACTGAGCTTGACCGGGCTACTCATAATGAAAATCTCGTTGAAGGAGAGGACATTGAGGTGATAATTCTTATGTCTTTTTTTCACCACACCGCACCATACTTTCTTTTCTTTGCACTTATAGTTCTCTTCAGTACTTGCTGTTATACTTTTTATCTGTTAATAAAAATTATTGGGTAACATGTTCACCGGATATCATTGTGCTGAACTACTGTATATTTTTTCATATTTGTCTTTATGAAGTTGAACTTGGGGAAAAGTAGATAACCTTATTCCTTCTTTTGTTGTCTCTCGTAAACTTGTGAATCCTTATAATTTACCTTGTCTACCAGCCAATCTCTTATTACTATGCTTTGTGTGTGCGAGTATTTGTTATTTGGAGGGCTAAATGTAGGTTTTTCTTATTCCTATAAAGATTTAAATAGTTTCCATGTCCAAAATTCTTGGAAAATATTGTTTCCCCTTTTTGATCTTGTGGTTATCTGTTTTAGTCATGTCCTTTTCTGTGTAGTACTAGAGTTGATTTCACTTCCGTCTCACTGGTATGCAATGTAATATTATACCTAGATAATATGCATTGTGAACTATAAGCTTGATTAAGCTGCATTGATTGGAGTGGAGGCACATTCTGCCCTTTCTTTAGTCGATTGACCTTTTTTTTTCTTAATGTGATTCCAGGTTCATCTTGACCACAAGCATATGGGTTTAGGAGGAGACGATAGCTGGACCCCATGTGTCCATGATAAGTATTTGATCCAACCTGTACCTTATTCATTTTCGATCAGGCTATGTCCAGTCACGGCTGCAAGTTCAGGCAATCTTATCTACAAAGCTCAGCAACAAATCTGATAGCAAGAGTATGGCTCGAACTCCTCTGAAATGTTCGAGACTGACATAACACTTAGCCTTGAAATAATCGTACGAGTTAGTTGTCTGATTTTATCAAATTGGCACTTGGTTTTAAATTTTCTGGACCAGCCGAGTTCATCTCACTCAGAAGTTATTTTTTTTTGTCAAGTCGTGCAAAGTGATTTCAATTTCTTGACACGCATAAAGAGGCTATACTGATGTAGTCGTTTCGTAATGTTTAATACATTTTTAGCTTCATTTCATTCTCATATAATAAAAGGAAAAAAATAAGTTATTTCCTCTCAATTTATAGCTAAATTTATCGTTCAGATAATGCAATTGTAGTTTAGTGTATGTTGTTAAACTTTCTATGATTCGTTGAGTTTCAGTCTTTTAGGAGTTGTTTGTACCTTGTAAATTTAAGTAGAATACAGTAATAATTTTGTAGCAATGCAGTTGTTACTATTAAGGGCATTTTGATAACTTTTGGCAAAAGCTACTCTAAACACTAAAAGCTACTCTAAACACTAAAAGCTACTATCACCATTACCTTGCCGAATATGCCTAATCTATCAAGTAGCATTTTGACCAAGTTAAAAAGCTGAAAGCTACCTAAACGCTAGTGCTGAACATGCCATTGATATCCCATGATTACAATGTCATTTTAATAATTTGCTTCACCCTCGCCTTAATTCCCAAACTTCCCAACTATGAACCCCCCACCACAAAGGCATTTCTTTTCAATACACTATCTCTGTATCTCATCATCATACACCCACCGCCCCACCACCGCCATTGCCGCTCTACCACTTCCTCAGTTAAACACTCTCCAATTTCTTGAGCTCGATTTGATTCAGTTGTTTAATGTAATTTTAACACTCCTTATTTCGTGAAATTTGGCAGACGGGAAAATCATTTAGAGATTAGGGATACTAGCTACATATCCAATCCACATGACATCTAAAAAACTATAATTAACCACAAATAAATGATTAGCTATTATGAATATAGATCTAAAAACCTTTAAAATGTAGCTAACAAAATGAGTATACTCTTTAATAATCAACATGTATGATGTATCATTTATCATAGGTATCCTCAAGGAGAACGGTTCAATCAGTCCGAAATCTCTCACAAGTCAACCTAACCTAAGTTAACGAGTTACACCTTACGTTGTAGATAGAACGTCCTAGATTCGTGATCCAAGATTGTACTGGTATACTGTATTTGTATTGACTGAGAATGTAATTGATTCAACTGTTTAATCCATTCATAGGGATAATGAACACAACTCTCCTTATACTGTCGTCTCTTTTAGTGTTCATCCTCTCTATTGTTCTCCTCCAACCTCTTTCCAGTAAGTCCCCCTTCTTCATTTCGTTCCATTCTTTAACACTTCGATTAGTGACTCCGTTCTCTTTTAATCGCAATGTAAAAATCGTACAAACAATACTTGTATTATGTAATGACATTGCAATTTAAAGAGAATGAAGAAATTATTATATTTTACTATAAAATTCAAATTAAATTGGTATTATGTTAACTTTTTTTTCAGAGTGGTCGAAATTGAAAGAAGCAGAAGTTGCAGATTTGTTGGTGACAAATGCATTCATATACACCAGTGATCCTTCTCTGCCCTTTGCTAGTTCCATTGCCATTAAAAATGGTCGATTTTTGGGTGTTGGCAATTATTCATCTCTTCAGGTTTTTTGTAATTAAAGATTATAGTTTTTTTTCAATAAATTAATTTCATAGTTTTATAGTTTGGATTTAGTTTATTTTGTTGCTGTATTGAAGGGATTTGAAGGAAGTACAACGGAGAAATTGAATTTGGAGGGAAAAATTGTGGTTCCTGGATTTATAGATTCCCATTTGCACTTGCTTTATGGTGGACTACAGGTTTGTCTGAAAAGCGAATCTCTTGTGAACTCGTCTTTACAGTAAAGGCAGTGATGTAGACGGAATTAGATTGTTTTATGGTTTTAAATTAGTTTTTTGTTTGGGTGATGTCTCGGGTTATTGTATGTAATATCCATATGAGATAATAAAAAAAAAGTTATTTACTACTTCACTTAGTTGAATGTAAGTAGGGACAAAAGGGTTTGATCACTTTGATGTGTGATAAAAGTAGGATTAATGATGGTTTACAAAATTAATGAAAAAGCTAATTTGACTAAAACAAACGAGATTGAGGTAGACTTTTCCAATTGTTACATAATGATGTTAACAGTCCTTTATGAGTATATATATAGTCTTGGTGATTAAAGTTTGATTTATTATTTATTGCGATTGTTATAAAAGTAGGAAACTTTTACAAAAATGTTTTTAAGAAAAGTAGATTATGATAATAGTACTCTTAATATCTTGTAAAACAGCTAAAAAGTATATTATCAATGCATGTTATTTTGGTAGGATGCAAAAGTGAAGCTGTTTGAACACTAATCTTCCAGTCTATGTGACATTACTGATTACTGCTAACTTGTTACATGTTAAGCAGATGACTCAAGTGGAACTCCATGGTGTCAGTACGAAACAGGAGTTTGTTATGAAGATTGAAGCCGCTGTTAAAAGTATGTAAACTTTAAAGAGCTTGATATCATAAAATGGTTGGAACACTTAAGTATTACAAATTGCTGAATGAAAAATTATTTTTGGGTATCCCATGCATCATAAAGTGGCTTTGCTTTGGATTTAAAATATTATAAAAACTTAAAAGAGATTATATTTAGTGGATAATTAAACTATAAGAGAAAAAGGATAGGGATTATTAGCACAGTCAGCTTGAATTCACTTGGATTGAAAGCTGTATTGTGAAATAAAGAATGGGTAATTGTAGTCGTAACCAACCACGCCTTTGCTCTTCCATTTTTGAGGGCTACGTTTTGCAAATTATAGATGCTTGGACCAAAAAATGATATCTATATGATGGGAAACTGTACAAACTAACATCATAACTGGATCAAAAGTAACAAGAACAATTCTATCTTTTCCCTCAAAAAAAAAAAAAAAAAAAAAAAAAAAAAGAACAATTCTATCTTGATAGTACCCAACAAAACAGATCCTATTAGTGAGCAGCTGTAGCCCATGAAGGCAAGAATACTGGGCACAAGAACAATCTACTGTGACTCTACAACCTGTTGCTTCTAATCTTCTTTTATGCACTGCATAAAGATGCTCCAAAACAAAATAAATAAGATCTCTTGAATACAAGTCCATATTTCAGCTGCTGGTGGAAGAGAAAAGCTCTCATTTATGAATTTTCCAGCTTTAGATTTATTTACCTACTATAGGAGCTGCCGACATTTTTCTTCTTTCAGTGACCATAAGTAAACATTTTTTTGATAGACCAAAGTCATAGCTGGCTATATAGTCTACTGGGTCGAGTTTAGTTTGTCTGTAATAGGTGCACCATTAAGATAATCTAGTTATTCCTTTGATACCAGTTGTGTGTTCAATGTCTCATTTTGTCAAATGTGAACAATGCTACATCAGATTTAGAGTCTGAACATGATAAAATCTCTTGAGATCTTGTGAGACCCTTTCACGTGTGTTAACATTCATGTCGAGAGAAGTACACAATCACTCTCAAAGGCAGCAGTTAGGCTTGGTTATGCACCATTTGGTCGTTGAGACTAGGGCGGCTAATGGTAGTATGTGGGTTCTACTTTAAATGGTAGATTTGATAGTTAGATATCCTGATTCCCTTAAGAGTATATTTTGAACCCATGTCACTGGTTACATCTTAGGATTAATAAAGAACTAGAATTTTATGTATTTTGGGAGATGCCCCTTCTGGTTGCTCTCTTTCTTCTCAGTTAATATAATTTTTTTTTTTTTTTTTTTTTAACTTGGCTTAAAAAACATTGCAGGTAAGAAGGAAGGTGTTTGGGTTTTGGGTGGTGGATGGAACAATGACCTTTGGGGAGGAGAACTGCCAATTGCAAATTGGATTGATGATATAAGTCCTCAAAATCCTGTAAAGTCAAAATTTCAAATTTGACATGGTTTTTTGCAGCTTGATACTTTGAAGCATCTTAAATATTTATGCTGCATTATCTTGCAGGTTTGGCTATCACGGATGGATGGTCATATGGGTTTGGCTAATTCACTGGCAATCAAGATGGCTGGTATTACTCGAGAAACCAAAGATCCACCTGGGGGAACATTAATCAGAACTGCAGATGGAGGTAAATATCAGTTATATCACTTGTATATGTCGATGCATCTTTTCCCAGAGAATAGCCGCCTGAGGGAGAGGGGGGGGGGGGGCTCTATGTATGCAAATATAAGCTTCAGAAGTTCTTTGGTGTCTTTTCATGGTATATTGTGGTGTTCAATATTATTCTAAGTACTGAGTAATGTGACTATTTTATATAGTGATATATGCACTTATTCCGTTGTTTCATTCTTCTATTAGAGCCTACTGGATTGCTGATAGATGCTGCAAGACAGCTTATTCTTCCAAATATCCCAGAACCCACCATTGATGAAAGGAGGGAAGCATTATTAAAGGCCAGCTATTATGCTTTGACCAAAGGTGTAACAACAGTGGTTGATATGGGAAGATATGTTCCCGGTTCTTCATCAGAGTTACCATGGCAAGATTTTACAGGTTATGAAGTACACAAATTATGCTTATATGTGCTCTATTCCAAAAGTTTTTTCCTTTTATAATGTAGTCATATTGTTTTCTCTTTCTTGAGATATTTCTTGGTTATTTACATGCTATTCTCATACTGTGTCCGTTTTCTGTATGCTATTTGAATAATCGTTTTGATATCATCTGCACCCAAATTGTGTTTCCTCTGGACAGAGCATTTAGTCCAATGGCCTAGTGATTAGTTAAAATCCCTACAAGAGGAATGCAGTTCGTGGAATTCTTTTTTTAGTTTGATAATTTGCTTGTTGAACTGACCATGTGTTAGTTATTATAGCAATCAAATAATTCTATCTTTTTTTTTTCTTGCTGAATGTTTAAATTGAATTTTCCCCTTTATATGGTTTGGCAGATGTCTACAACTGGGCAAATGCTTCTGGAAATATGATGATCAGAGTTTGTCTGTTTTTCCCCCTTGATACCTGGTCACGTGTATCTGTATGTACTACTGTACTATTATTAAGTTAATTTATTTGGTTTTTTCTTATTTTTCTGAAGGTATCCAGTCAATCTATGTTTTAATTTATTTACTTATTTACTATGGGCTTACATATACTGCTTAATCAGGATCTTGTGCAGAAATCAGGTCGTATGGTTAGCAAGTGGCTTTACCTTGGTGGTGTCAAGGCTTTCTTAGATGGATCGTTGGGGTCTAATAGTGCCCTCTTTTATGAGGTTAGCATGCACGAGCTAGTATCTACTCCATGGTTATTCATTTAGATTGGTCATTTTGATGTTAATGAATGCTTATGTACCAGATATTGTCAATTCTTGTAATGCTTGGAATGAAAGTTGTAATTATGATGAACTAACTGTGCACTCTTGATTCTTGGTTTTCCTATGCAGCCATATGCTGATGATCCTGGGAGTTCAGGCTTTCAAGTGATGGACCTTGACGATCTGCTCAACATGACTGCACTTTCTGACAAATCTGGGCTGCAGGTGGTCCCTTGACTCTGCATCTATTTTACTCAATAGAATCTCTCAAGCTGTCAGGATAGGATAAAAATTCTATAAGCGCTTTTCATGACTATACCAGGTCGCCATTCATGCTATTGGCGATAAGGCGAATGACTTAATCTTGGATGTGTATGACTCAGTTGCTTCTGAGAATGGAGAAAGGGACCGAAGATTTAGGGTAAGTAAATTTTTGACTTTCGTTGTTATCAGCTAAGTGGCCTGCAATTATGATGAGACCACCGTACATTGTTGCATGTTTAAAACTTATTTATTACTGTCACGAGTTCGTGGTCATGTTATTTTAGATTGAACATGCTCAGCATTTGGCACCTGGTTCAGCGGCTCGATTTGGTAAACAAGAAGTAGTTGCTTCAGTACAGGTTTGATTGGGACATTGTTCTTTGCATTTTCTCATATACTACGTACTTTTTGATTGGCTTTACAACATGCATGATGTTTCATCTCATGTGATACCACTTCAAGAGAAGACAATTTGTTCACCAGTATGTTTATGTTTTGCATCACATCAATATTAAAAGATTGTTCAGAAATTCTGAAATTTCTGTTAAATTTTGGCAGCCTGTGCACCTTCTTGATGATGCTATTTCTGTAGAAAGAAAATTGGGGAAGCAACGGGCTGAACATGGATCTTATCTCTTTCGTTCACTTCTAACAAGTCACTCACTGCTAGCTTTTGGATCTGATTGGCCTGTGCGAACAAAACTTCTTTCCATTACTATCTTCTTTTTTTTGGCACTTCTCCAACTTCTAATATCTGTATTTTCCTGACAATGTATTAGGTTGCAGACATTGATCCTTTGAACAACATCAGGACAGCAGTAAAAAGGGTTCCACCAATGTGGGAAAGATCATGGATTCCATCTGAATCCCTCTCACTCAATGATGCACTTGATGCGTAAGGCTCATCTTTTGTCTTGACATTTCTGTAGATCCCCTATGATTGATGTTTCCAGTGAGAGCTTTTTTTAGTTTGTCATATCTGAATACTAAAATCATTCAAGAATCATTCTGTAGACCTGCTTACGGAAAACCTCATAGAGTTTCTTCTGTTAGTGACTCCAGAAACACTATTAAAGTATTAGGGTTATAGTATGTCAGCTTTGCTTGGCTTGTCACTCTCTTACCTTGAAGTCCCAGTTTCCCACATTCAATTTCCCGGCAATTTTATATAACGAGGCTTTCTCTTGCCTTATTCCTCTCACAATCATATTGCAAGGGCGTGTCAACATACTAGACAACCTGATATAGGCCTAGCCTAGGAGGAATGAATGTCTTTCGGTGTGAATGGTCACTCCACACACACAAAACTTATGGTGCTTTCTCATTATTATTAAGTTTGTCATCTACACGTAAAATTAAACAGGGATAGTGGAAGTGTATATTCTAGATGTAGTTCATGTCATGTTATGCAGTTACGAGCATAATCATTAGTAATGTGTATTAGAAAGGAACTTACTGAAATTGAAACTTGCCTGTTAGGTATAGTAACAATAAGTAAATAAAACATTATTTTTCCTACAATTAGCTAATTAATTGCTTATAATTCTATGATGTCATTATAGAAAGTTGTTAGCTTCTTAAAATCTACTAAAGGAAATTTTGGCAAGAGAAGAAGGGAGTCTATACTACATGTACAAGTCTTCATGAGATTTGGTCTTAATCCTTCACTCCAGCTTGTGCATTTTATTTTCATAAACCAATAAAAACATCTCTTAAATATCGCAAAAATTTCTGCATGCAGGCACACGATTTCAGCAGCTCGTGCGTGTTTTCTTGACAAAGAAATAGGGTCAATATCTCCAGGAAAACGGGCAGATTTTGTTGTATTGTCCACAAACTCATGGGAGAAATTTATAGCTGAAGCATTTACTTCTGTAAAGGCTACATATGTTGGTGGAATTCAAGCCTATTCTTCAAAGAATGTTGTGTGATTATATATTTTGGCATGTCTGGTAAAATAAACAATTCTATTGAGTATTTCTATTTTTAGACTTTTAGTGTTTATGATTACTTTTGTTGGGTTGGAGTGCAAATGGAAGCAAAATAAACAATTCTATTGAGTATACGACATTTGACAATTTTTCTATAGCTCGCTCCTACCTGCCTTCACTTGATGGTGAGCTATAGATTGCTGCTACTACGACGCTTACTGAAGCCTCGCGAGCTAGTAGCACTTACATATGCATTAATGGCCACTCTTGAGGCTTGGTTCTTAGGTCGATTGGTCATCTTTGTCAAGTGGTCTTGCCATATCATTGGCTCATTGCCCGTCATCCAATAATAATATAGCTTATGTTTGATTATTTTATTTTTCTATTATCTTTAATAATTTCTTTAGCTTAGAATTTAAGGGGCTATGAATACTCAAGGAGATTTATTTTTGCCTTATGCCTTTTATTATTATTTTTTGTTTTTTGCTTTTTTTGTTTTCCTTTAGTCATAGGTTTGGTAATTCCATGGATTCTTCCATAAATTGCTCTTGAGCGTCTTACATTAATTCATAGAGGTATTTTATTTCTTTTTTTTTTAATTATGCTTACTTAATTAGATTTAATCTTAATTTTTATTCCTCCTATCGCATGTTAATGTAAGCTGGTAAGTTTTATTTGTGTTGTTCGCACTTGTTATAATAGCTTAATGGTAAATGTCGTTAATGACCTTAGTTGAATAGTTGGTGTTGTGTAAGGGCTTCTTACTCATGTTACTTTACTTTCCTTTCGTTTGTTGTAAACTTTATTTAATTAATGTGATTTCAATCGTTTTCAAAATAAATTTAACAAAACTTATCAAAATTGATATAAGCTTTGGTGTGTGAAAATAGTACTACGTATTTGAGAAATGGAAAGACGAAGAAAAACTAATATCAGTACTTTTCATTTTTTATTTTTTAAGACGCGTTATTTTAAATCCTTAGAAGACTCGTCCCATTTATTTGCTTCGTATTAGACCGATCTAACCCATTTATAACTGTGCCAGGTCACGGCTTTTACGGGCTCCAAGACCTCCAACCCTGCCTCTCTCACAGGTATCTATTTAAGCTCACTCAATGAAGCGCATTTCACGTTCTCAGTTGAATACTTGAATGGCACCGCGCATTCAAGTAATCATACCGGCCGAAGCTGAACATTATGGGGTAAGAAGTTTGTTTTTGTTATCATCAACAATTTCACAATCCAGGGTTTATCTTTGATCTTATCTAAGTATAATTATCAGTGCATTAAGTGCAGGGTTCTAAACTCTCAACTATTGGTTCTAAATTCTAAGATTATGAAACATCATAACCAAAAGAAAAGAAAATTATGAGCCTAATTTGATTATTGAATCAAAATATCCCTGAAATTATGTATTTTTCGAGATAATTGAATCATATTTGGTTGCTATTTTATTGCCCAACCCTTTAATGTTAGGATTGAACAATTTGAACTATGAAATTAGAAGAGTAATAAAGTAGTAAAATTTATAATTAATAATTTTCATTTATTTCAAAAAAAGATCTGACCTTTATATTAGAAGTGTAATGAACTAATGAAGTAGTAAAATTTGATGAATAGGCCTTGTGTGAACAGGAATATTATATGAGTATTTTCATTAAAGAATATTTTATAATTATTAATTTTCATTTATTTTAAGGAATGATTTGACCTTTATATTAGAAGTGTAATGAAGTAGTAAAATTGATGGTGATGTGATATTGGGGTCTTGTGTGAACAGGAACATGAATTTATGAGTCCTGAAGACATACTTGAATGTTTGAAATTGAATCTTGGGAATAACGTCTGCCCAAGTGTTCTTTTGGAATTGGCTGAGGAGTTTGATGTTACTCCTAGATTACTTGAATCAGAAGAGGCTGCTTTCCTTGTTCCATATTACAACTTAGTGACTGAAATCAAAAGGCTTATTGGTATCGATGACAAGGATCAGTTTGCCTCTTTCCTGATAGCCAACCGTGAGTTGGTGCAGAAATATTCTCCAGTTAAGGTTTTCCAGTTGATCTGCCAGCATTCTGCTGCTGCTTGTGCTACTGCACTGCTTGAATCTGGACTTGATGTGGATGTAAATTTGCAATTTAAATATACGGGAAAATCCCCTTTGTTCATGGCGGCTAGGAACTTATCTTATGGCATGACTAAGGTTCTTTTAGATCATGGAGCTGACGCTGATCTTTCTTTTAGTGGTTTTGGCACCCCACTTTGGAATGCTGTAGATGCATTCAGGTACGCGCCTCGTTCCCAAACCTTCCTGTTTCATGGTTTCTTTATTTGACTTTTAGGAGGTTTACTCTTGGGTTTGCGTTTTCAATGTCACATTAAGCTTAAATATTTTGAACAAAGTTGCACTGATGAAAAATCCATCCCCAAGCTTTTCTACTTTTTCTGCTTACCAGAATTGGTGATCATCTACTTTTATTGTTCTTTCCAGTCTTTTACTTACCACTCTTGAGAATAAAGTTCCTGCTTTGACTTAGTCCTATGCTTGGCAGAAAGAACCCATTGATACTATCAGACTGCTGGCGTCACATAGTCATCAAGTCAAGGATCTTTGCATTGCTTTGATAAATAGTAGTTCTGCCCAAAAATATGCTGTATTATTGTTGGTTGCTTGGGATATGCTCATGGTCTCGTCTGCTGAGGGGGACCTAGAGACCACCCCAGTTGGGCAACACATATTTCGGGGGCTAAGAAATGTATCATACCTGCATGAGATATGTGGTGTCACTTGCGAATTTTGGGATAAGTTCCAATTGAAATGAATATGAAAAGGGCGGTGAAGAATTTGACGATAGCATGGTATGTGGTCAAAACTATGTCGATGACTAGAGGTGTCATTGAGCGCTAATTTCACTCAAGGGTTGCCCAGCCACCGAAAACCCCTCCCCAGCCACCGATAACCCCTCCCCACCCTCGAAATTGGCGAAGCCCAGCCACGAAATCGGCGACGCCTAGCCACGAAATCGGCCACAAACGACCGAAATCGGCCGGTTTAGGGTATTCAGCCCCAACATCGGCCATTTTCGGCCAATATCGGCCATTTTTGGCCATCGGTGGTGCTGGTTTGGTGTGCGTCGGTGGTGTTCGTGTGGTGGTGGGTGTGGTGTTCGTGTGGTGGGGGTGCTGTTGGGTTGTTCTTATTATTTATTACATATTCAGTTAAAAGTTGCCAACCCTTTATGTTTAGTGGATCCTAGTCACCCAAACTTTTATTTTATTCTCGGTACTGGGGCATACCGTGTATTGACAAAGGCGAATTATGACACAATTGTTAATATTTGGCCCAATTAAACAAATTATGCAGTGGATTGCATATCGTACCGAATTTTATACCAGTCCTTTTTTCTCTCACAATCCGTACACTTTCTATTATTAGTATTCCTTTTAATATCCACTTTAATTTTTTTAAAATGTAGTGTACCACTTTTTTTGCTCATCCCTACTATATTCTTAATGCTTGAATGCCTAGCCGGAAGATAAATATAGGATGGAAGGAATATATTTCAATTTTTTAAGTGCTTTTTTGTTGTACATTTGGAATGTCTCTTTTTCCTGGGCAAGGAGTTCAACTTACCAGATCCCATCTGTGTTAAATTGTGAAAACTTAAAATAGGGACATTTATGTCCACAAGAGTGTGGATAAGTGTTGGTTCCCTTTAGAGCTGTATGACTGTATCCTAAGCTGCATTTACGGAAACTTAACAGAATACTAGCCTCAGGCCCTCAGGTAAACCTTCTCAGTATTTTGTATTTATCTTCTTTATATCTTCTTTCTCTTACATCCTTGATTTTACTTTTGTTTGGTTTGCAAACTTAACTAACTACCCTTAAGCCTAAAGCACATTGTTGTTTTTTATGTTTAAAGCCTCCTTCAATAATTTGCTATAAGCTACTTGATGTTATATTGTTTTGAGGTTGTTTTCAGGAGTCTGTGTGGTTTTAAGCAGTGGTAGTTTCTGCGGGTTATAGTGGTTGCAAGGGTGATGGTTTGCTGGTGGGGTTGATGGGGGTGGAGAAGGGGGTGGCAGCATAGGTGATGGTAAGCGTAAGGGTTTACTGTTGAGGTTGGTGAGGGTGGTGGCTGTTGGTATAATAATTTGGTGGTGATTGTTGGTGTTAGTAATTACTTAGATCTTAGTAAGTTAGATTTAGTTTGATTTTTTAGTAAGTTAGATTATTACCGGTAACCTGTATTTATGTTTAAAGGTAGGAGTATAGCAGGTTTTTCATAAGCCTATTCTTAGCATATGAGGAAATCAAACATTTGTTGCTAATAATTGTTAATCTCCAAAATATCATTTGTTGCAAAAATGTAGTATACTATCAATCTATCATAGTCATATGAGGAATCATCATGATAAATATGCCACCAACAATCATCTAAGGTGCCACCATTAGTATATGCCTCCTTATTGTATGGCATACTAGCATGTTAGGAACTAGTATAGATGAAAAGTGATGAACGCATGATTAGGGAAGGAAGTTTGATTAAGATATGTAATTCGGGAAAATTTTCTGAGCGGTGACTTGAGGTTTCATACTTCCTCCGATTTTTTAGTTGTGGTACATTAATTAAAAAGCTCTGATATTTTTGTCAAAGTATCACAACAATAGCGACAAGAATAGCAACATCAAAAGAAAAAAACCGAGGAAGTATAATTATATGGCCTATGATAAAATATATAGTGAAATACAATTGCGGGAAACAGAGGTTTTTTAAAGACATTTCAATCCAAGATAAATATTTAGCACAGAACCCTTGCTATTATTAAAATTATTTAATAGGTGCTAAAGCCAAGTAGTTTTAAAAACCAATGTAAAAGCCTACTTAACTTAAAAAAAAGAGCCAACATATACTGTAAATTTGTGTGAAAAAAAGAATTTAAAGAGTTGAGAAGATCAATTAGATTATCATGTGGCCGAAGGAAAAGAAAAATAAGATTGAAAAGGAAATTGTGGTTAACAACTCAAATAAAAAAAAATTAAAAAAAAAAAGAGGAAAGGAAAACAGTATAAGCTGTCAACCACACTACTAGCCTACTAGGCGTCATATGAAATTTTTATGTTTTTTAAAGTCACGTGAATAAAAAAAGTGTTGTAAGAGAGAGAAAAACAAGAAATGGTAAGGCATTCCTTTCTTCATTCATAACTATGGCGTATAATTTTGTAGATCTAGGGTTCTTATCGAATCCAACATACGAATTTTGTGGGTGTCCGAATTTGTGTCGTGTTGAGTGACTGACATAGTTCGGTGGCCTTTTAGCCAAGTTCGAGTAACATAGCAAATTTAGTATATCAAAGATGTTACAACAACAATGCCTTAATCGCAATATATATTAGGGTCATATAGACATTATTGCAAGAGTCATATACATAGATCCTTTCTCCATTCTTCTTTGACATTTATCGCTTTCAACCACCCTCATCCAAACATATTACAGTGGTAAAGAGAGTTTGATGCTATATTACATGTGCAGTCTGTTTTTTACTCCTATTTGGTTGCCTGAGTAGTTTGTTTATGCTAGTGTAACCCCTTAATTTTGGCAAAAATGGTCACATGAATATCTTGTCATTGAAAGATACATTACAAAATTTGTGTAGTCTATACATACAATTTGCATCCTCCCCTTTTAACTGAAGTGCTAGCATAGGAATTGAGAAGTACTTTTGAAATTACGCCCAATAATTTGAGTAGGTTATGGACTTATGGCATGATGAAGTCCTCTGAGTTAACAAGCAATTTCATTAGAGATGTGAAATGAGCATAACATTGTCCAATAATTGCAGTGCACTCATTAATGAGAGATTTGGATGCTGGATCATCTGACCCAAACTTGAAATGTATCTGTAGTTACTTAATTTAGTTATCAATTTCAATGACTTATAGTAATACTGCTTGATTGGCAAAAGACTCAACTGGATGGCTAAAACTCTTGGATATGACCGGAATCAAATTTGATCTAAGTGACCTGTTTTCCATACTTTTTTCCTCGCCGAGGACTGGGCATAACCATATTGCATTTTGATTATGGGCATTTTCAATTATTTCATTTCATTTTTTTTAATTATTGTGATAGCCTTGTGTCACTTCCCTACCTTTTATAGTTTGAAATAACTCTTACGAATAGTGTTTGGACATGGCTAGCTATAGCGCACGTGCTAACTGCCCTATTTTGCACAAAAGGATGATATTTTTATACGAGGGGCTTGCTTAATCATACAGAAGTAAATGAATGTAGTAGCCTTAGTTTGAATCATGAAGATAATAGCATTTGATTGATCGAGCGTTGCTAATGATCTTTCGTTACATATTTATTGCATGACAATGTATAGTGAAAGCTTAATATGGAGTGTTGAGTGGTCAATTTTATGTGTTGCTAATTAGAAGAGATCAACTGTTCAGAATTAGTTTGCAATTTTATTCTTTTGTTTATTCATAATTTTATCTTATAGAAGCATCTCCTTGTAGTTATTTTGTTAAATTCTGATAGAATCATCTCCGTATAATTTGCATCTTAATATATATTAATATTATGTTTGTGAACTTGATATCCTATTTCGATTGATGAAGTCTCCTGCCCAAGGTCACGTCAAAGGCTAAAACTAAAGGTATGTAGTTTTGATTACAATTGAACTAAGATTTTTATACAACAAATACTCTGTTTAGTTTTGTTAAGTGGTGGAAGGGCTTTTGATGTCATACAGTGCTGCCAGAGCAAAAATATTATGTGGAGCCACGACGATCTGGTCCAGTATTATTTTCTTTTGTTGGGGTAAATATTCCAACTTTTTACTAAAAAAATTAGCTAAAACACTGTTGACTAAATTTTGACCGCATTGCAATATTCAATAGAGATTTCAAATTAGTAATACTACTTGAGTGACTTGACTCACTTAACAATTTTTTTTTTTCTGTTTTTGGTTTATTTTCGTTTCTTGAATAATTCTTGCAAAGCATGTTATATACTTGACTTGTTATACTTGTTGGTTTTACTCGTGTTTATCTAAATGGCATCTTTTCGGGATGCTTTTGAATATAGATTTGCTAGTTTTTCAAATTTAATGCATCGAAGTTTAGTGCAATCTACTTTATAACAATCATTAGATTTACATTACAGTTTTGTATGTATTGTATTTTGATGTTGCATTAATTGATTATTTGTTGCAGAAGCCAGTGACAGGTACATCCGGGTCTCCGTCCGTGTTACATTTTCAATATCGTACACTTCACATCTTTATCCTATGGAAAATCATCTACGGAAAACCGCACAAGTAGTGAAGCCATCATCGCATAATGTTATAGCGTTAACAAAAGTATGTGCTCCTCTAATGTGGTTTGCCAAGAGGAGTATCAAGTAGGTACGATATGAATGTGCGAAAAAGCTTACAAGGCCATGGATTTTCTTGGAGCCCTTATCTCACTTATCTAGCTTCAGTCCTCTTAATAATAACCAACAACATTTTAATAGCCTAGTCTATATTGGTTATAATCTATTTGGAGTAGTTTCCTTGTGTTCCTTTGTAAATACTTCGTAATAGCTTGGGGTCTTGTGTTACATCAAGTTAGGATTCCTTTGAAAGGTTTTGGTTTTTAAACACATTAAGTAATGCTGTAATTATTAGTTCAACTTGTGAATTATTTGCTGTAATAATATTTTAGCAAGTGTTTGTATTATCTCATTCTCTGTATTGATGTTCAAAGTAATTAACACTAATTTCAAGATTAGTGTAATGTGCAAAAATATGAGGGTGCATGTTAATTAGTGTTTTTATTTCGAGAAAAATAGTCATCCATTTCATTAAGCGTACAATGTATTGAGGACTTGATGTACTTGATTAAGTTTGGCTACTGGTTGGGCTGTTTAGACCATGTGAGATGACGAGAACTCATGCAGATGGAGATATTTGGAGATTAGTGTGGAATGTTAGAAGGCCACCTAAAATGAAGCAATTTTAGTGGAGAGCATGTACTTGTTCCCTGGCAACGATGGAAATACTTCATTTTTTTTTTTTTTTTACTAATAGACTTCATAAATAAAAGCAATAGACAAATTACGACCTAAAGAGCTTAGAACAAATAATAATTCTTCCTAAAAGAGCTCAAAACAAATAAAAATTTATCTTAAGAGAGCTCAAAACAAATCATATTGCAGGGGATTAGGACTTGTTCTGATTTACAGAACTGAACTGAACTAAAAATAAGCTGAAGAGAACAGATCCTTAGTCATCAAACTAGACAACCTGATATAAGCTTAGCCTAAAATAAGCTGAAGAGAACAAATCCTTAGTTATCAAACTAGACAACCTGATATAGGCTTAGCTTAGGAGGAATGAATGTCTTTTGCATAGGCGGACCCAGGGGGGGCCTACCCGGGCCTTGCCCCCCCCAATGCCCAGATTTTGATATTAAATAAATAAATAAAAAACTTGTACAAATATTCAAGTTTTATAGTAGGCTTAGTTGATGAGTTACTAGTTGCATAGTTTTGGAGGTCAAGGGTTCAATTCGCCTTGCTTGCACTTTTTTTTTAATTATTTTTTTTTTCCGTATGGCTTTATTATTTGAAATTCTTTATAACTTTGGCCCGGTTTATAAAAAATTTCTGGATCTGCCCTTGGTCTTTTGGCGTGAATTGTCACTCTACATGCACACACATAACTTAATTATGGTGTGTTCTCATCATGTTATTATTAAGCTTGTCACTTTAGTGTTTATGATTACTTTTGTTGGGTTGGAGACTTGGAGTGCAAGTGGAAGCAAAATCCTTACTTTATAAAACGTACAAGATTACTCTAATAAATAATGTGTTACCAATTACACCCTTTAAAATGTGCATTACTTGTTTAACCTCATTAATATGTACAAGTTTTATTTTACCTTCATTAATGTTATATATATTTTGCTAATTTATCGTGATTAATGTTTATTATCCTTTTTTTTTGAACTATTTAAAATAGCGTGTAAATATTTATTCCTAAACTACTTGTTTACTTTTTTCCCTACTATAACCAACAAATGAAAAAGAACATAGAAATTAAAATGACTAGATATGAAGCGCGCATAAGCCATTCTAGTGAATGGAAAAAATAAGTATATGCCAATTGACAATTTTTCTATATCTCGCTCCTATTTGTCTTCACTCGATGGTGAATTATAGCTCAGCTCGTTATTGTTTTGACGCTTATTGACACACGAAAAAACTCCTTACAAAATGTACACATTTCCCATTTCTTTGCTAACTTAGACATTCTCACACTCTCTATCTCTAACTCACTCAAGTTAGGGTTTTATTATTTCTCAAGTGAGGATGGCTACCAATCTCAGAGTATCGAGTTTCTTAGTCTGCTATTTTCTTGTTCAGTTGCACGGTTGATTAGATCCATGAATTTTTTGCAATCTGATTCAATTATGCAATTGCTCCAATTGTTCGAGTGAATCAAAGTCAAGCTTATTTGATCGCCTGTAGTTCTCCTTCTAAAGATGAAGAGCCGAAGATTTTTATAAAAAGAAGCATCGGCTCCTGGATCCTGCTTGCAGAAGGTGTATTAGTATAGTAGGTATGTCCCATGAATTTTTTGTTTTCATTTAAACATAATATGTTGCTTTATTATCTCTAAATTGAGTCTAATAGTATCATATGCATATTAAATTAGTTATTAAATATGACCCATGCTTTAGATGGTGTTCATTTATATACCATCTGTTTTGGTAAAAAAACTGACTACCAGGTTCGACGTAGGTTGCGATAATTACAGCTAGATTGAAATGGCGAAATATGCTAACATGAATTAATGGAAAAGAAAAAGAGGAAGAAGAGGAGAAGACACAAAGAATGATGACGCAGAAAACCCCAAGAATAAGGGTAAAAACTGCGGGTGGATGTGAGTCCACCAATCCACTAGGTGTTTAGGTGAAACAGGTTACAATACGGGTTACAAATTATGGAATGAGTAATAACAGTAATTGTTCTCTATGATAATGCTTAGAAGTAAGGCTAATGTCTTTGTTGATACCTCCTACAATGATTAAGCTTGCCTATTTATACTAGAAAATCACTCAAAAGATCTTCAACGACTCTTTCCCACAATCCCTAGGAATCCGGAGCTAATGCCTCAAGTTGTTCCTACTTTCTCTCTACGTCTCCAGGTCTGGTACTCCCACGTTTGAATTAGTCTTTCTCAACGGATTGACTGCTAGTAGTGGTCCCGACTTCTTTGGATAACATTTTATACCTTCCCCTACTCGAAGATTCCTTGGAATATTCCTTGAGAATATGCTCTGTTGCCTGGTCTTGACTTGGCAGCTACCTTTGACCTGTACGCTGCTAATCTGCAACCTGTAACCTGTCTACCTGTAGATAATAGGAATTTAGGGTGAAACTTCTAGCACAACAGTTTGCCCCCAGCTTGTCTCTTAGATGTTCTAGTGACTTCTACGAGGCAAGCTCAGAACTTCCGTTAGAAAAGATAAGTATTTCAAAAATGTAATTTTTAAAGATAAATTCGAATTTGCTGCGCAGATAAACATTCTAGAAAAGATAACTTCTAGCCGTTATAAACAATTAAATGCGGTATAAATAGATAAGCAGTAAACCCTTTCAACTGCTGTGCTGATTGTGCCTGGACCAGATGACAGGCCACAGCTCTACAACAAGGATAACATTGTGTTCTATGAGTACCCCTTTAAACATGGTTTTACTTATCCCTTCTCTCACTTGGCTAGGCAAATTCTAGAAACTTTTGACTTGAGTCCAGGGCAGCTTATGCCTGCTGTCTGGAACTTGATTAGTATCGGTAATGAAGCTACAACTAATTGGGAGACAAAAGTAAATGCAGCTGACTTTGTTAGGTGTTACGAGCTGAGGAAAATGGACCTTGATAGGGTCACGATTTATAGGAGGGCCTCTTACACCCCTCCCCCCTTTCCTGGGATATGAGACCCCTAACAGGTCGTGGAAATCGAGGTTCTTTTTTTTGTTGAAGGATTCCTTGGGGGAACCTGGAAGGTGGATTAGGAGTGGCTGGCATAAAGGTAAAGTTTTGATCTTTGGTGTGGTAGGTTTTGGAATAAGGTATATTAACTAAGTGTTTTGAACTTTGTGTACCTTTTGCAGATCTGCGTCTGGATGCTATTAAGCCGGAGGACGGTTCAGAGTTGGTTGTGAGGGCATTGTATCAAATTCCTGGGAAAGTTACAGGCAATCTCCCTACTCCTTCTGCTACTACTGCTAGTGCTACTATGTCTTCAGGTATAGCTTTTGTGTTTGTTGGTTTGCTTGGAATATGGTTCTGTGTACTGTGTTTATGGAGTGGTGTCTGTTTAAACATTATAGATCAGCAGGTGCTAAATTTGGTTGTACCAGGGAAGAGTGTCATCATGTCTCGGGAAGAGGAACTGCAACGTGCCAAAAGGAAGAGAGGTGACAGCTCAGCAGGTGGCTCGATTGATACTACTACTCATCGGGCTGAAAATAGCCCTTCTAGGACTCTTTCCAATAGAGAAGAGGTTAGGATTCCTCGCACTAGGTCTAGTGTTCCTGTTGAGGCTGTGATTATCCCGGATACCCACGATGTCAGCTTCCGTCCTGACTTTTTGGCTGGGGAAGGCACGAGTAATGGGATCTGGCCAGAGGCTCAGAAGCTCCTATTTCCAGTAGCTGTCAAGCGCTTGGCAAGTTTGGATGGTTATCTGGCTCTAGCTGACGGGGCTCAACTGGTTCTACAGGTATGGTTTCTGAACTAGCTCTATTTAATCAGTTTCTAGATGGGTACATACTAACTAGATGCTTGGTTGGCGTAACAGGGTTTCCAAAACATTTTGTATTCCAAGTCCCAGCTTGGTGGCTTGGAGAGGAAGCTGCTAGAGTCTGACAAAGCTAAAAAGATGTTACAACTTCAGGTAGAAGCGGCTAAGAAGAAGGTAGAGGATGTCAACCTGCACCTAGAGGGTAGGCAAAAACATTTTGAGGAGGAGATGAAGAAGAAGGAGGATGCTTTACGAGCTAAGGATGAGGAGCTGAGTAAGAAGGACAAGGAGGCGGAAGATCTCTATAAAAAGTTGGTTGACCTAGAGGATGAGAACAAGAACATTGAGGCTGAGGTTACTCTGAGGATTAAGGCCTATATGGCTAATAGCTTTTTGCTGAAGAAGTTTGAAGGGGACGCAGGTGTGAAGAAACTTCGGCAGCTTGTTGATGATTATCTA